CAAGAGGCAGTGACGAGGCCCTGCCAGCACCATGGGCCCCTGCCTGCCACCCTCACCGCCACCCTTGGCCTGCAGGGCTCACCGAAACCCCGAATTACAGAGCTTTTCTGTGTTGCTCTTGAGGACTTAGGGGGTTCTTTCTCTGTTTGTCCTTCGAACTCCCTCGGAGGAGCATGGGGTAGAGTTCTGGGGCCAGACCACGGACTGGGGACAAGCGGTGGCTGAGCCCCTGGCCCGGGAGATGGCCCTTCGGCCCTCAGGCGCTAAGCCGCGCTGTGAGAGGAAATTTGTCCGGCACAGCCTTGGGGTCACTCCTGCTCGTGATGCCGACCACGGCTGGCACTGGCTCTGCATTTGTCCGCGCTGTCTCCATCCCCTCAGTGTCCCGGATGCTCTCTTCATGTTGGTCTGAGAGGGCAGCACCAGCCTCTGGGCCCCAGCTTGTAGCTCTGGCCTTGGAAGGTTATGTCTCCTTCCTGAGCCAGGGCTGAGGCACATGTCTCCCAGAACCCCCACTGGGCAGTTGGTGCCCTGAAGACCTGGAGCCCCCCCCCCCTCCCTCCCCCCACCTCGCCTTCCTGCAGGGCCCCTGCGTTGTTCCCATCACTGGGGCTTCTCTGGCCTCTGCTCCCTTTCACTGCGCCCTAGGGAATGCCAGCATCTCCCCAGGCGTCTTCTCTGTTGGCTCCTGGGCTCCCAACCCCTGGCTCCCAAAGGGAAACCGGGTGCCTTTGGCGGCCCCAGGCTCCAGAGGCAGTGCCCAAGGAGGCCCTGGAGGAGGGGCCCTGGGCTGGAGGCTCTGGCCCCTCTGCGAACTCACTTCTTAGCCCAACTGAGCCGTTTCCTCATCTGAAAAGGAGGGTGTGATGTGTCCTGGGGGAGTGAAATCCATGCTGGGGCCTGGTGGGGGCGTCAAGGTAGAGTGTTTGCTGGAGAAGATGTGTCGGTGGGATCCAGAGGGGGAAGGTGTGGGCTCTGCGAGCCTCAACCAAGCCCGCACTCCACAAACCAGGTGCCTCATGGGCGTGAGCTTCTCTCGGTGGAGAGAAGGCTTCCAGCACTGGATGGACCTCAGGGAGATGCAGGTGTACCAATTCATGAGCAATATAATCAAGCAAGTGTTAAATGCTAAGGGGGAGGCTCAGGACCGGGAAGGAGGGGCTCCAGGCTCACCATGGAGGTCTGAAGTGGTGTAAAGGGGCAAGAGGATGGCTCTCCTACCCCCCACCCAGCCTGCTGTTGCCCCTTCCCCAAAGCCCGCCAGCAGGAGGGACTGACTGGGTTCTTCTTGGGGCTCTTGTCTGCCTCCACCTCAGTCTGCCACCTTTGCCAAAGCAGTCCCTGGGCACTTGCAGCTGTCCTGTCCTCAGCCTTCCGGGCCCCGGCTGTTGGCTAAGCCAGGTCTCCGGAGAGGTCAGCATGGGGGCCACAGGTTCTGCCTCGTTCCTCCTCCACCCTGCCCGGAGGACCCACTGCCCCAAAGACTTCACCAAATGCTTGACCACCTCTGGGGGCTGATGTCACAAGATGGGAAGTTGGATGGGGTGGGAGGAGGGAAACTCATCTTTCCTCACATGTGACTGATGGGTGCACCATCTGGGATTGCCCAGCTAGTGCCCTCCCTCCCCAGGGTGGCTCAGGCCGCTGACTGTTCAGAGCTCAGGCTGGATGTGGGATGCAGTCGGATGATCAGAAAATAAAGCCATATCGAACATTCAGCCTCGAATGTCCTGTCTGGGGTGTGGGCAGGCTGATTCTGAGGCTGTGAGGGGTTCTGTCCTGGGCTCTCCCAGCTTCTGGTGTTCCTTGGATTGTGGACTATGGCTCCAGTCTGCCTCCACCTTCATATTGAGTCTTCTCTGTATGTGTGTCTCTAATATGGGTACTGGTTATTGGATTCAGGGCCCACTCAATTCTAGGGCAACCTCATCTCAACTACGTCTGCAAAGGCCCTCTTTCCAAATAAGGTTTCATTTTGAGGTTCTCAGGGGTTATGAATTTGAGGGGACAGCATTCGACTCAATATGGGGGTGGGGGCACCAGGCTGTGTGGAGGCCCCTCCCACCAGTCAGGCCCATCCCCAGCCCCTAGGAGCGTCCTGGCCTGGGCACAGCCTCTGGGATACTGGTGCAGCTCACTCCGGGTTTATGGGGTGCGGTTGCTCCAGACATGGGCGAAGAGGGGTGGGCCATCTCTCCTCTCCCCTGCCGTCCCTGCAAAGGCTGGAATGTCGCTTTGGCCTCATCATGAACTCCGGTGAAAGTCCCCACATTTCAGAGGAAAGGCCAGCCTGTTACTCCTCATATTAACATAAGCTGATGTTTCCTCTTTTTACACAAAAAGTTCCACTGATTGTAACCAAGAAAACGAAAACCAGCAATAGCCCCAGCTGGCAAAGATGGCTGCCCTCAGGCTCGTGTGTTTTCATCCTGTTTCCCAGTGTATGTGGGTGTATGTGAATATAAGTACACGCCATCTCATTTTGAAAATAGGACTCAATTTTTAAGTATTTCTCTTTAAATAGCTCTTTGCAGACATAACAGGAATGCAGTGAGAAGGGCACACGGGCTGCTTTGTCTCTAGAAATGTTATAGGAAAGAAGTGAGCCAAGGCGGGGCTGCTGTCAGCTCACTGAAGAGTTAGAGAAACGGAGGCCTCGAGACAGGTTCGGGGGTTAGCCTGGGACCAGCTGCCACTGCCCATGGCTCCCCTGGTTGCACTGGGGCCGTCACCACACTGAGGGGAACATTTCCCTGCTCCCTTCTGCAATCTGTCCCTGTGCCCTTGTTCCCAGGTGGCCACTGATCATATCACTACAGATTGTCTCATTCAGCTGTGAAGTCAACCAATATTAACCCCCCTGCTTAATGGCGAGAACAAGAGTCCCTGTCCCTGCCACCCTGGGGCCTGTGGTCCACTGGGGAATCAGGTAAAAATAATGGGGGGTGGACAGTGATGGCTCCCCGAGGAGGCGATTTTGAGAGAAATCAGAATGGCAAGAAGCATGAAGCTGTGTGGAAATCCAGGTTAGTGATCCTGACAGAGGGCACAATCCATGCAAAGGCCCTGGGGCAGGATGGTGCTCGGTATGTTAGAGGAACAGTGAGGAGGCCCATGCAGCTGGAGGAGAGGCAGGCTACTTGTAGGGGCCTTGGTGAGGTGTTTGCATTTTATACTCTGTGATGAGGAACTGGGGGGAGGGGGTGGCCCAAGGAGAGGAACATAGGCCTGACTTGTATTTGAAAAGGCCACTGGCTCCCCAGATATGAAGATGAAATGAGATCGGGCCACGCGTGTCAGACGCATGAGAGATGGTTCCTTGGGCTCCCTTGGTGCCCGTGAACATCACCTTAAGTCCCCATCAGCCCTGGGTAGCAGCAAACAGTTTGGGCAAAAGCATCTTCTGAGGAGGGTACTGTATCTTCCACCAGGATCCCAAAGGGGTCCAACCAGTGTCTTGGGTCTCTTCCCAGGGGTTTTTGTTTAAAAGGCAATAAAACACAATCTAGCATCTCTTGTAATCGTATCTCTCCCCCTTCTGCCCAAAGGTATAATCCACTGTCCATATCCTTGTCATTCTTATTTTTTAAAATTATTTTTAAAATGTGTTGTTATTGATTTTAGAGAGAGGAAGGGAGAGGTAGAGGGAGAGAAAGAAACATTGATATGAGAGAGAAACCAATAAGTTGCTTCCCGTGCGCACCCTGACCAGGGATCAAATCTGCAACCCGGGTACATGCCCTGACTGGGAATAGAACCGGCAGCCCTTTGGTGCATGGACAACACTCAGCCACCTGAGCCACACCGGCCAGGGCTCCTGTCATCCTTTAAAAACAATGATTCCGATACTTTTGGATACATGGACAGCATTCAGCATTTTTCTGTACGGCTTAAACATTTTATTTAGATATCATACTGTCCTTACCTTGCATTTTTAACCTATTTTTTTAAACCTCTAACACAGCTTTATTGGCCGCTAATCGAATACAATCAAAATAACAGATTCCTCAGTCCCAAATTTTCCTTTTGTCCCTCATAGTACCTCCCCTTACCCCTCCCAGGCAACCACTGATCTGTGGTCACTACACATTAGTTGGCATTTCCTAGGTTTTTACATAATGGAATCATTCCCACATGTGTCCTTTTATCTGGCTTCTTTCACTCAGCACAGTTATTTGGGGGTTTATTCACGTTGTCTCATGTATTAACCGTTCATGCCTCTTACTCCGAGGAGTATTCCGTTATGTGGATACACAGCAGCAGGTACTCAAGCAACGTCATTTCACCCAACGTCGTTTTCTTATAACGCTGAGATGGCACAGGAGGATAACTCTTGTTTATATCAGTTAGCCTGTGATAAGCTGGTTTCATTATATGCCATTTCGCTAAAGTCGCACAACTTATTGACGACACTAAGTGAGGACTTCACTGTACCACCATTTGATATCAGTTCAGAAGTTGAGGGACATGTTTCCAGATTTCAGCTACTACCAATAAGCTGCTATAAACATTCATATAAATTAAATGTATGGACATCTGCTTGTATTTCTCTTGGGTAAATACCTAGGAGTGGAATGGTTGGGTCACATTCTGGGTTTCTAACTTTTTTTTATGTTCCCACCACCAGTACCTTCACATCCTTGCCAACACGGCATGGCCAGTCTTTTACATTTTAGTCATTCTTATAAGTGTGTAGTGGTATCTTCTTGTTTTAAGTTGCATCTTCCTATCAACTGATGTTTCCATGTTTGTATTAGTCACCCACATCTTTGGTGTGTCTTTGGTGACATGCCTGTTGAAAGCTTTTGCCCATTTTTTATGGGTTTTATTGAGTTTTGAGAATTTTTTATATACTAGTATACTGGGTACAAGTCCTTTTTCAGCTATATCTTTGTAAATATTTTCTCCCAGTCTGTGGCTTGTCTTTGCATTGGCTTAAGTTTCTTTCAAAGAGCAAAAGTTCTTAATTTTTATCAAGTCCAATATATCAATTTGTTCTATTATGAATTATGCTTCTGGTGTCATGCTTAAGAAATTTTTCCCTAACCCAAGGTCACAAAGATTTCTTTCTGTTTCCTTCTAAAAGTGTAATAGTTTTAAGTTTTACATTTCATCTATGATCCATTTTGTGCTATTTAAAAAAAATATGTTGCAAAATATGGAACAAGTTTAGATTTTTACATATGAGATGCAGTTGTTCCAGCACCATTTGTTGAAAAATACTAGCCTTTCTCCTCTGAATTGCCTTTGCACCTTTTTAAAAAAATAATATATTTTATTGATTTTCCACAGAGGAAGGGAGAAGGATAGAGAGTCAGAAACATCGATCAGCTGCCTCCTGCACACTCCCCACTGGGGATGTGCCTGCAACCAATGTACATGCCCTTGACTGGAATCGAACCCGGGACCCTTGAGTCTGCAAGCCAACGCTCCATCCACTGAGCCAAACTGGTCAGGGCAGCACTTTTTTTTGAAAATCAAAGTGTCTGAA